TGCTGATGGAATTGATGTTGTTGTTGAGTTTGATGATGATGGTTATGATGATGGTAATGATGATGACGATGAAGATGGTGATGGTGATGATGCTGATGCTGATCATGCTGATCATGATGATGTTGATGATAATGGTGCTGGTGAAGCTTATAATGATGATGATGGTGATGGTGGTGATGATGATGATGATGACTACGCTGATGGCGATGAAGATCATGACTATGACGAATAACAGCATGATGATGCTGATGACGATGATAGCGATGACGTTCGTAGAATATATCTGGGGAGGAGGTGGACTAGGAGGAGGAGGAGGAGGAGAGGCGGAGGAAAAGGAGGACGAGGAAGAGGAGGAGGAGGAGGAGGAGGAGGAGGAGGAAGACGATGATTTTTTTTAGTAGCCATCGGCCCATCCCGCCACCATGCCTGGGTGGTGGGCCCGAGTCCTCAGGGATGTTTTGGGGTTATCCGTCGGAGGTCTCTCTGGGGCATCCGGCGAATTGTTTGGGGGCCTCTTGAGAGAGCCTCTTGGGAGTCTGTTGGGGCTTACTGGGGGTCTCTTGGGGGCCTCCTGGGGACATCTTTAAGCATCCTATGGTTTTCTTGGGGCGGTGGTCTCGGTATGTCCAGTCGTGGTCCCCATGAGGCTACTGGTCTCCGCGAGAATGTGGAGGATTCCTGGGGAACCTGAGAAATCTGGAGCATTCCAGGGAATCTGGAGGAGCCCTCGCATGATTCATCTGGAACTAGGATGAGTTCTGAATGATCTGGAGGAGTCATGAGCAATCTCCCGAAATCTGGAGGACTCCAGGGGAATCTGGATACTCCTCAGCATTCTTAAGGAATCCGGAGGAATCCCAAGGCATCCGACGGATATTTGGGGAACTGGAGGAAACCTTGCAGGAATCAAAAGGAATCCTGAAACATCAGCAGAAATTTCGAGGAGCCCAAAGGAACCCACAAGAACCCTGAGGAAACTAAAGGAAACTCATGAAATGCGGGAGAATTTGAAGGCACCCAAAGGAATCCAAAGGAAGTTAGGAGAATCCAATGGGAGGGGGACTGGATATCTAGCGGTGAAGCCCCGCTGTCAAATGCTCCTAGGGAGGGCGAGAATTCGAAGGCACCTGACGAAGCCCAAAGGAAGTTGTTTGTTTGAAGGCAGCCAACGTTGTTTGGGGGTGGGGTGGTGGCGAACTGCCATTTGAAAGTGGGGCCCCAATGCCAAGTTCGCATTCGGGGAGCCCCTCGGAAGGAAAAATGTGGAGCCCGTAGGACGCTTTCGAATCTGGATGAATCTGGAAAATGTCTGGAGAATCTGAAGAAGTCCTTGAGAATCCGAGGGAATTCGGAGGATTCTCGCCCCTAAGGCAGAAACGTCTAGTGTGAAGAGGATGCCATTCAGTGGCACTGCTCGCGCGCTGGGGTGGGCAGATGAGCCGGAGACGGTCAGGAGCAGGGCTGCCTTCAAAGTGGGCATGCTTTGGAGTCCGTAACCAGAAATCTGTAAGTTGTGTGTCTCGAATCTTGGAACGCGCCTGTATGCGAAGAGTTTACAGTGTGGTGGAGATGTCGGCAAACTGCACGAGGCGGAGGAGGAGGAAGAGGAGGAGGCATGGGGGGAAGGGGGAGGGGCTCCGGGGACCGATGACTGACCGAAAATTGGGTGGGCAGAGATTCAGGCTTCAGACATCAAGCACCAAACCACGACGCGGGGCCCAGCGACGGCCCCAGAAGTCCGCGCGGGCCGCTTTCTGCTTGCGTATGCCGATGTGTTTGTGCGCGTGTTGTCAGCCAGCCGGTCCGCCGCACTCCTCACGGTTTCGCGCGCGTGCCTGGCTCCGCCGCGTTCCTGCGCGCGTGGCCGCGGCGCCGAACGAGTGACTACGTCTTTCTGCGCGCTGCTGCTTCGAGCAGCACCCGGCGGCCCGAGAGCGGGGTCGAGAGCCCCAGAGCCCCACGCAAGTGTGAAGCAGTGGCGAAGCGTCCTGGCTCGCCGATAGGTTTACCGAAGAAGGTTCTAATAGCCTTGTGTGGTTTTTGAGAAGATGTTCTGAGAACACTTCTGGCTGGGACTGTCTCGTTTTAGCTCATCGGGCTTGTGTTCTAAGAACACTGTCTTTGTTATTCGAATATTTGTGGGTTCTAAGAACATATCGTGGTAGGCCTATAGGAATGCCGGGACGGCCGGTCCCTGCTCAAAATTGAAAGAAGAGGGCGTCGCAGGTTAGGTTCCGGGGTCGCGACGTGGCGACGACGGATGTTTGGTCCCGAGGTGAAGAGTCAGAGGAGGAACAGGTACTTGTGCCTCGTTTTCGCCTTCTTGGTCCGGGGGGGCCTCGCCGCTACTGCTGGAGCCGCCTCGAGATCCTGGTCAGAAGTCGTCGCGGAGAAGGCCGCGGAGCAGCGGCATCGGTACTTGTTGGTTCACCTTATGAGGGTCGGGTCCGAGCCCCAGGACCTTGATGACGCCGTTCCGGCTCGGGCAAAACGCATGCAAGCATGAGGTTGGAAATTCCAGTCGCGATTTCGTTTCGATTTTAGTCTTCACACAGACCGATGTTGGGGTATGTGCTCTGATGTTTCTTTTCTTGTCTTCCCGCTCCTTACCCGCCCCCAGCCCTCACTCTCTCTGTCTATGTCTATCTCTCTGTCTCTATTTCTCTTTCTCTCTCGTTATTTCTCTGTGTTTTGTAATTTTCTCTCTCTCTCTGTCTCTCTCTCTCTCTCTTTCTCTCTATCTCTCCCTCTTTTCCCTTTTCCGATAGTTATGTACACCGTCATTTGTATGTGATTCCCAGTGTTTAGGTTTCTTACGGGGTCCGCAGACACCGCTTATGTGCGAAGTGTTTTGCGCAGAATTCCCATTTGACCACGAAGTCTGGGGAGCCTAAACATTTCTTGTGAAATTGAAGAGTGTTGACTCTTCGCGTGCCCGCTCGAGGTCGGCGCGTCCTGCGCGCAGGGTTGTCGAGGATGTCTCGAGCGAAACGCTTGCTATGCAGAACTTGAGGGGCCGGGGCGCCACAGGATGCCCAGATGGTCCCGGGAGTGCGATCGCACCGTTCTTTACCAGGAGTCGTGGCCCTGGGAGCGCAGATGCCGCGTAATTTACTGGGGATCGTAGCAGTGGGGGCGCGGACGTTGTCGAATTGACAAGGGGTCCTGGTCCTAGAAGCGCGGACGCATCGTGATTTATTAGGGATCGTGGCTTTGGGAGCGCGGACGCAATGCAATCTACGAGGACTCGTAGCCCTAGGAGCGCGGATGCTGCGAAATTCTCGAGGGATCGTGGCCCTGGGAGTGCGGACGCCGTTCAATTTACCATTGACATGGTAGCTGGAAGCGTGAACGCAGAGTGGTTCACAAAGGATCGTAGTCCTGGGAGCCCAGGCGCACATCATTTGCGATGGATCCTGGCCTTGGAAACGCGGACGCATCGTGATTTGCCGGGGATCTTGGCCCAGGGGGGCGGACACAGTGTGATTTACAAGGGGTCATGGCCTTGGGAGCGCGGACGCAATGCAATTTACGAGGAATGGTGGCCCTGGGAGCGCGACTGCCTTGCAATTTAGGATGGATGTTGGCAGTGGAAGTGCGGACGCATTACAATTCACAAGGAATCGTACCCCTGGGGGGCGGACACGGTGTAATGGATTAGGGATGCGCGAGCACAGCATAATTAGTTTACATGGGATTCTGGCTCTGGGAGCGCGGATGTCGCGTAATTCACGAGGGATCGTGTTCTTTGGTGGGCGCGGCCGCAGTGCATTTTATGCGGGTTCGCGCTTTCGAGTCCAGCGCCGGGTTTTCAGGAAACGGCGCGGGTGGGCGAGCAGCGCGACTCAAATGCATATTCGATTTCCGACAAATATTAGATTTTGATCTGGCGAGAGAGTTTTCTGGGCAACCTCCGCGGAATGCGTCGTGGCCCTCGCAGCGCAATTCACGAGGGATCTTCGCCCCGGGAGCGCGGACGCAGCGATCTCCTTGAGGGATCGTGGCCCTCGGGCGCGTTCCCTGGCACGTTCCTTGGCGCCTTTCCTGGGCACGCCGCGCGGCGCGTCCCTTGGCACGTTCCTTGAAACGTCCCCTGGCACGTCCGCTGGCACGTTCCGTGGTGCGTCCCCCTGGCACGTTCCGCGGCGCGTCCCCCTGGCACATAGCGTGGCGAGTCCCCTGGCACGTCCCGTGGCGCGTCCCCTGGCATGTCACGGTGCGGCGCGGCACAGAGCACAGAAGCACAACGCAGCCCCTCCGCCCCTGACACAGTAATTAGTATCACCACTGATACATAGCTTTCTCCCTGGCGCCTCCCCTCGGCACGCGCGGCGCGTCCCCTGGCACGTCCGCTGGCATGGTCCGCGGCGCGTCCCCCTGGCACGTTCAGGGAGGCGTCCCGCGACGCGTCCCCCTGGCACATCGCGCGTCGCACTGCCACGTCCCTTAGCACGTCCATTGGCGCGTCAGTGGCGCGTCCCTTGGCAACTCCACTGTGCGGCGCTGCACAGCGCAGAGCAGCACAACCCACTGCCCCTCGCATAAGGTGTTTGGAAACGTTTCCATGCCTCGCAGTTCTAAATCTCTTTCCAGGTTCGTGGGTCGATCAGGTTTGTTCTCGTCGCCAGCCCAGGAGTTCTTGACCCCAGGGCCCTTTGTTCATCGTGGGTAGCTGTTTGACGATCTAGGGATCGGTGAGGGGGCTTCCAGAGGTGGGACACTCAGAAACACCTCCGCCCCCAGCGCACTCGCTTCAGTCCGTTGGGGTCATGGGTGTTTGTCGAGGGAAGGCCAACGAAGCCCATGGCCAACATGCATCGGGATCATGGCGACGCCGATCTTGGTGATGGTCCATGCTGGCCGTCGCTGACTCACGACGATGATTCACGAACTGACCACGACCAAGATGGAAGATAACCACGATCGACACCGAAGCTTCCACCTTCAGTCGATGTCATGAGACTCGGTTTATTTCCCTCCATCTTGCCCCTCCCTCTCAGGTGACAGTGAAGGCGGGCGACTTCTGCGTGTTTCCCGACGGCATGACCTGCATCTGGAACGTCACCAAGTCCATCAGCAAGTGCCGCCTGCGGCTTGAAATCGCCGCCGTCGTCCTCCTCATCCCCCTCGCCGTCGTCCTCCTCGCCTGTTGGTACTGCCATTCCCGTGGACCAGCATGTCCAGGGTTTCCTCAGGCCCGAGATGGGGCTAAATGCCTCGCCGTCGCTGGTCCCTAATGGCGTGTTGGCCGCAGGCGCTGATGAGGGCGTGTGTGGGGGTGGACCTTACGAGGGGGCTCGCCTTGTTTGAATTCTCGTCGGGGGTGGAGGCCGCCAATGCCCCCATCGAAGAGACCAGGCCCCCCTGACTTGCTTGGCTTTGCTTGTGCCTTTCCCTCTCCTGCTTGCCGAATGCGATGACTTCATCGGTCGTGGTGGTCTCCTCCTCGCCCTCCGGTCTCTTCGTGCCTCCTCGCTCCTTCCTCACTCCAGCGCCTCGCTCCTCCCTCCCTGTCCTCCTGTCCCTCCACTCCTCTCCCTTCATTCATGAGGCCTCTGTCTCCTTCCCCTCTCCTCCTCCCTCCCTCTCCTCCCTTTCCCCTCTGCTCCCTTCCTCTCCTCCCTCTCCTCTCCTCTCCTCTCCTCTCCTCTCCTCGTCTCTCCTCTCCTCCCTCTCCTCTCCTCTCCTCTCCTCTCCCTCCCCTCTGCTTCCTCCCCTCTCCTCTCCCCCCTCCTCCCTCCCTCCCCCTCCTACCCCTCTGTCTCCTCCCCCTCTCCTCCCTCCCCCCCCCGCCCGAGCGCGCGCGCGGCATTCCGCCAGCGGTGACATCGGCCCCATCCCCCACGGACCGATCCCAGCTGCCGGCTGCGCCCCCGGTCTGCTCCATGTCCTAGGGTTTTGCAGGTTGCTCCCGAGCCGAGCGTCCGTGGCCCCCGATGCTGAGTGCTGTCCTCCTCCTCCTCCTCCTCCTCCTCCTCCTCCTCCTCCTGCTCCTCCTCCTCCTCCTCCCCCCTCCCCCTCCTCCTCATCCCCCCTCCCCTCCTCCTCCTCCTCCCCTCCTCCTCCTCCTCCTCCTCCTCCTCCTCCCTCCTCCTCCTCCTCCCCCTCCTCCTCCCCCCCCTCCTCCTCCTGCATGTCTGTCCGTCGAGGACCTCTTCCCCGGCGAGGCAGCGCATCGCTAGGCATCGCGAAGTGCGTAGCGTACAGCGCCAAGTCAGGGGATTCCAAAGCAGCGCGCTGCAGAACAATGCGATGCAGTGCAGCACGAAGCAATGCAGAGCAAAGCGGAGAGCACCAACTCAACGCAACTCAATTCGGGGCAATGCAAACCAACACACAGCAGTGACACGCACAACGCAGCTTTTTAACTATGCATTGTCAACGCAGTGCGTCAACGAAAAAGTGAACTACGTCACACTGCAATTCAATCGCGCAAAGCAAACCAGTTCAAACCAAGGCTGGTCAAGACATGAACCCATAGCATGTGACACCGCGCCCTTCCTTGTTCTGATTATTGTCGTACCATGCAGCATGTCGCCAACATGTTGGGATCAGGTCCACGTAAATTTCGAAAGGGGCTCCATGCTCCTTAGATCCTTCCACCAGGTGTCCTACGGCGCTCCACGTGCATCTCGGCACAACTGAGGCCCAACAGTCCATCTTTCCATTACCCAAGATTCCCACTTTGCAGAGTCTTGACCGTGCTGCTGCTTTGACCTTAGTCTCGTCGGTAGTCTCGATCTCAGCTTGTCCCACGCCCCACTGTCGTGCCCCAGAAAGGGGGGACAGGCTGGGGGCAGGGCGCGCGGTGCGGCCCTCTTGGAGAGGCACCCCCCCGCATCTCAGAAGCCGGCCTGCCTTCTGGGACTCGCGATGGCGCCCCCACCGCCCCCTCCCAGTTTCGATGATCCTCGGGACGTGTGCTAGCCCAACGTGTGTCTACCCCGTTCGGCCCAACCAGTCGATCCTCACGTCGCCGTAGTCGTAGTGAAGGGCCTCGGTGGGCACACACACGTTGGCGCTGACACACGTTCCGAGGATCATCGACGGTTTCTGCCCCCTCCCCCGACCGCACTGCGGGTCGGCCCCGCTCTCCAGCCGCCCTGGGGCGCACAGCCGGTCCCCCGTCGCGCAGGGGCGCGACCGATCGCGCGGTGGCCAGCGCCGCCTGTGGGCAGAGGTTCGCCCCTGATGTCGGTTCTCGGGCGCCGCCCGTCCCGAGCGCGGGACTAGCAGGAGTCTTTCGGAGTGGCCCACCCTTCAGGACGAGCAAGAGTCTCTTGATCGTCCTCGTCGTCATCTACGGATGTCGTCTTCGGCCCTTCTCGGCGAGGGAAGGGGGGGGGACGGTGGCGAAGAGGGGAGGGGGGGAGGGAGGGAGGGAAGTCGAAGACAAAGGGGACGGACGAGGGGCGAGGAGTGGGAGGAGGCGAATGGAGGAGGAGGGGTGAGGATATGGAGAGGGAGGACGAGGGCGGCGGAGCCGGTGGACGACGAGGATGCGAAGGACGCGGAGGAGGAAAATGCCGAGGGGCCAGGAGGAGGCGGAGGAGGAGGAGGAGGCGACGGCAGGAGGGGGAGCGACGGCAGCAGAGGGAGGGGCAGCAGCAGGGAGGGGAGGGGAGGGCGCGCGGCGGGGCGGTGGTCGAGGCGGCGGTGCAGCAGCAGCAGCAGCAGCAGCAGCAGCAGCAGCAGCAGGCAGCAGCAGCAGCAGGCAGCAGCAGCAGGCAGGGGCGGGCCTGGCGCTCAGGCGCTACAACTACCCCTAGGGGCCTCGGGCGCAGCCGCGCCCGACGCGCACCCCCTCCGCGCGCCGGGGCGCGCGGCCGCCGCGGCGCGCTCGGGCACCACAGACCGCGCGCCGCGCCGCGCGAGAGGGCCCCGCCGCGCGGCCCTCCCCCGCGGCAGCCGAGGGGCCCGGCCGGCTGCGCTGCCGCGCAGAGCGCACTCGGACGAACAGCACACACCCATACCCATTAGGGGGGTCATGGGGAGGAGTTCTGGCTGTGGGTATGGGTGCGGGTTGTTGGACCCTGGGGAGCGCTCCCGTTCGAGCGGGGACCCCCATCCGACAACACGCACCCATAGCCCTCTCCGATGCCCCTATGGGTATGGGTGTGTGTTGTTGGTTCGTCAGCTCGGGCGTTGTGCGCGGGGAGCGGGCGGTGCAGAGGGGTGCACCTCGTGTGCGGTGGAGGTCCATGCCGAGAGACGCCCTGTCTGCATCCAGGGTGCGCTGGGTCTCGTGGGTCTCGACGGTTTTGCCATGGGAACCGTGACGTTCCCACACCGAAGATCGATGGACGTCCTGGGGTCTCAGGGCTGGGTCTCCTGTGGACAGTTTCTTGTGGTCGGTCCCCTTCTGTACAGCATCGGGGCTCTCAAGCTTTCAAGGGGCCCCCTGGGGCCCAAAAGGGGCACGAGCGGTGCACGTTTCTGCCCCACCCACCCCCTCGAGTGTACCCACTGGTCGTTTATTGCAGGTATTTTTGGACTCCTAGTTCCCAATCTGCTTTGGTCGCCTTCCTACTTCAAGAGTCGACCGGTTTTCCCTCTGCCCTATTCTTCAGGAGACGGGCGGAAACCCAATCTACTTCCACCGCCTTCCTACTTCATGTGTCTACCTACCGCTTCCGACCGATGGGTATCGCACCACCCCAGCAAGCAAGGCCCTCCGAGGCCTCAGGTGTTCGGACGCTTCCGTCGGTCCTCGGCGGCTTCCAGGGCCTCGGGATGCCTTCAGCGGCTGCGCCTCGCCGAGAGCGCTCCGGGGGATGAGGTCGGCTGCGTTGCTGCGCATATCGCTCCGAGGCTCTAGGCTTTCGAGCGTTTCGTTGGTTCTCGGCGGTTTCACGGCCTCGGGAAGCATTCCCGCAGCTGCGCCTCGCCCGGAGCGCTCTGCGGGCGCTCGGACCGTGTAGAACACAGCATGTGTGAAGGGACAGCAGAGCGAAGCGCAGTTGTCATCGAGGGCGGTTGGGTGGGTGATGATTCATTGGCATTTTGGCTTGAGCCCGCACTGATCCCCACCATCCCTTCTTACCGGAAAGGGCGGGGGCCCAGGATTCTCTTATATAGGTTTTTACCCCCGGGGGGAGACTTGAGATGGGCCAGCGGAATTATTTTCGAATAGCGAGCTTGAGACGGGCCGGCGAATTATAGTTTGTGGATGTCCTGAGCGAATCGCTGGTAAAGTAAGCATTTTCGTTTGTTGCAGATGTCTCGAGCGAAACGCTTGTTTTGCAAAATGTGTTGAGGATGCCTCTGGCGAAACGCTTGTTTAGGAGACTTCCAGGAACCTGGACGCCCACGGATGCCCCAGGGGGCCCTGGGAGGCTGACACAGCGTAATTTATTTCAGGAACGTAGCCCTGGGAGCGCGGACACAGCGTAATTCACGAGGGAGCGCGGCCCTGGGAGCGCGGACGCAGCGTAGTTTATGTCGGATCGTGGCCCGGGGAGAGCGGACGCAGCGTATTTTACGAGGGATCGTGGCCTTGGGAGCGCGGACGCAGCGTAATTTACGAGGCATCGTGGCCTTTGGGGGGCTGACACAGCGTAATTGATTGGGGAACGTAGCCTTGGGAGCAGGGACGCAGCGTCATTCACCAGGGAGCGCGGTCCTGGGAGCGCGGACGCAGCGTAGCTTACGTGGGATGGTGACCCGGGGAGAGCGGACGCAGCGTGATGTTCGATGGATCGCGGCCCTGGGAGCGCGGATGCAGCGTAATTTGCGATGCATCGTGACCCTGGGGGCGCGGAGGCAGTGTAATTTTCGAAGGATCCTGGCCCTGGGTCAGGGACGTCCCGCGGCACGTTCCCTGACGCGTTCCCTGGCACGTTCCCTGGCGCGTCGCCCGGCTCGTTCTCTGGCACGTTTCGTGGCGCGTCCCGTGGCGAGTCCCCCTGGCAAGTCGCGCGGCGCGTCCCCTGGCACGTCCCGTGGCACGTCCATAGGCACGTTCCGTGGCGCGTCCTCTTGGCACGTCACTCGGTGCGTCCCCATGGCACGTCCCCTGGCACGTCCCCTGGCGCGTCCCTTGGGATGTTCCGCGGCGCGGTCCCCTGACGAGTCCAGCTGTCAATTGTAAGCTCTGGGGCAGCTACTATGTGCTCAGGCAGCTCGCGCTTAAGATCCAGATCAGTTCTGTCAGGACCCGGATGCAAAGGAGGACTCGATCCACTACAGACCACAATCGCAGCATGGCACATCGCAATTCAGCTCGGCGCAGCACAGCACAGCCTTTGGCACGGTACGTCAAGATCGATACATTCAGCCTTGCAATTGCCCGTCGCCCAATCAGGTGTCTTGAAAACGCTACCACGCCTTACGTTTCTAAATTCCTTCCGGGTTCGTGGGTCGATCATGTTGAAAAACGAGCGTCGCAGCTGCTCCTCGCCTGCGGGCGGGCAGATCCCGAAGCCAGTTGCGTCGCCTTGGTGCTCGAGGCGACTGCAGGCAGTATCGGTCGGGACCTCCTGGGGACCTCGTGGAGGCCTCATAAGGTCTTCCAGGGGCGTCTCGGAGGCCTCGATGGTGCCTCTCGAGGCCAGTTATCTTAGCGCAGAGGCCCCAAAGATCAGTTCGATTTCTCCCGTGGGGGCCCCTCTTGTGTGGTCTCGCTCTTGGAGGCCTCTTGAGCCGTCATGGGGTCCTCTTTGGGGGCCGTCCTAGGACCCTCCTGGGGCCTCTTGTGCCGTCTGGGAGCGATCTAGGGGGCTTGTTGGGCCGTCCTGGGCGCACAGCTGAGCGCTACACGCAACTGATGCTTTCTCATCTGAAGGCTCCCTTGTGGGTCCGCTTGGGGCCATCTGGGTACGCGTACTGTGGACCTCGCAGCACACTTTGAGGCCATCTTGAGCCGTCTTCCGGGCTGCAGTCGAGATGCTGAAATAAAAACCATTCGAGCCACCCCCCTCGCCATCCAAACCCCACGTTCGCGAACGTCCGCCCACCACAACTCCCCCTTGCAAGCCCCCCCCACACGTTGATTGAACAGATTCGAGTACATTGACAAACAATGTGAAGGACGAGCAATTTGCCCACATCACCCCTTGCACTCTTGCCTCCTAGGCCCATCCTCGCCAATCCGTTCCCAGCCATATGCCGCAACAACAACAGCAACATATTTGGGCGTGCAATGGCTCGCATCCTTGCCGAGCGTCCCTCATGAAAGATAGCGATGACGAAATGCCAGGGAGGCGGTCGTCACGCAGCAGCGCTCTGGTTTCTGGGTTCTGGGCCAGTCTGTAGGCGCCGTCGTTATCAAGATTGTGTGATCGCCTTCTGCAATCAAGTTCCTCGGGTTACTCAAGTCGTACCCAATGTTGCATCACGCTCTACATTGGCAAACACACATACCAAGACAAGAGTGTGAGAGCGCGGACCCCAAACAGCATGTTATTGCAATATTGGGTTGCACGCTATGTAATACGCGCTATATATATATATATATATATATATATATATATATATGTATGTTTAGATGTGCGTATTTCTATGTGCGTATGGGCGTAATCAGGATGGTGCAATACGTGCGTGGTGCAAGCAACATGGTGCAAGCTGTGAGGTGTAAGATGCATGCAAGCAGCGTGTTGCAACACGTGTGCAGACGCAGCGTGCACATCGCCTGTGACGTGTGAGCGAAGCTCTGAGCTGGAATCGGCGCGGCGAGGGCTATGTGGTGCACACTCGTGCAGGCTGCCAGGCGTGAGCAAACCGGCGTCATGCCAGCGATGGAGGGCAGGCAGCGCGAGGCGCCCACGAGGCACCCCACGGCCGCCCGCCGCCCGCCGGGCGAACCCTCGGCCGCCCCGGGCAGCACGCGGGGCGCCCTCGAGGCGCCCCTCGGCCGCCCGCCGCGGCGAAGCCTCGGCACGCCCGACCCGGCTGCAGAAGTGCAACGAGCAAGTGCACCCAAGCGGGCGGGTGGCGGGCGGGGGGTCACCCAGACGGGGGTGTCCCCGTCTGGCCCCCGGGGGGGTCACTCTTCGCTCCCTCTCGCTCCCCCTCTATGTCCTCACTGTCTTGCAGCCGCTTAGGCTTAGGGTGCGAGTCGCCTCTCGACTCCACGGCGTACTGAAAAGGGTTCACCGCCACTGAAAAGGGTTCACCGCCACCTCGTGTCTCCCTCGTGTTCCCCCGTGCTCCTCCGACCCTGTGAGAGGGGGGCGGAGGAGAGGTCAAAGTCAAGGGAGGAAGAACCACCCCGGCCCGAGAAGTGGCGTGTGCTGGACGGCCTCGGGCGTTTGCCGAATAGCCCTGCCCCCTGTTCGATTCCTTCTTTGGGTGCGTTTACGAAACGGCTTCGCGTGTCGGGGTGATTACTCTGAGGGTGGTCTGCTGCGCTCTACAGAGGGTCCCTTTCGGTTTCTCCTCCACCCACCATTTGGCCCCCCCCCCGTTAGCACCCGCCCGACCCAAGCGCACACGCACCGCTCGGGGAGAAACAGCATGCGGCACCACCACGGGCTTTCGCTGCAGCACCTGCAGGCCAGCCACAACTGGGGGAGCTGTGGCCCATGCCCCCCGAGGGGACCCATCGGCTTCGACGCGTCTCTCCGAGAGATCGTCGATATCACGGGTTCCCCCAGGGGGGTCAATGAGGAACCCCGACATTTGATGATGTCTCCGAAGAACAGCAGCATACACATGAGCTTTTGGCGTTCCGCGCAGATTTCTTGGATCCGCGCTGCCCCCCCCCCCCCCCCCTGGCGCCTCAAGCGCCGCCCCTAGCGGGCTCCGCGCGCCAGGGAAGGGGACCTAGCGC